CCACACCCACACCCACACCCACACCCACACCCACACCCACACCCACACCCACACCCACACCCGCAAGGGTTTCTCTTGGTTACACGTAGGTCCGAAGAGGTAGTTAAGGTTTACTTGTAGATACCGTATAGTACCTTGTATTTAGCTGGAAGCAGCTTATAGTTGTCCATGCTTTATCCTGAGAACGAGAGAGAACTCAAGATGAGATTTGAAGTAGTTCCGAAGTGCATGGAATCTACCTCTAACCAGCGCACTGGTTCACAGTTCTGATTAATAGATATCTACCGCGCAATAGTACATTCTTGTCAGAGCATTTTACTAATATGAAAATGTCAAAAGCAAAAGCTGCCTCTATTTGAAAATTTTAGATAAAAGACGGGCATAGCCGAGAAAGTTATCCATCGCTGTTCTCGGTACTAAGGAAAATTTCTAGGTAATAAGACTACTATTCTTTGGTTTTTTGCGAATCATGAAAGTCTTCCACTTATTGCACGTATTACTTTATGGACTTCTAATGAAATTTATGCTACTACAATGAAGACCGAATCAATATGAAATAGTTTGGTATAAAATAGGCAGTATAACGTCTCTTTAGACTTTGGGACGAAGTAGGATTGCGTGTAAAATACGCCTTCCTAGAAGACACATGCCATTACCAAGTGGCTTTGCAGAACAATCAGAACACATTTGTTTTGTCTACGAAATTGTTGAGGGTTGCGTGCAGGGTATACTTAACGACAAAGCAGGCAGTGAAACCACTAATGGTACTGGAAAAGAGTTGCTCGATCTTTGCTTAGTTTACAAAACCGTGAATGATTCCTTCTCTAATGTAAAGAACTTATAAAAGAGCAAAGAATAGACAAAAGTTTTTGAATAAAGTTTACCAAACCATCATATGCTTCACGGATCTATCCGTGGTTGTGTAGGAAGAGTACGAAGCCTGTAGCTTGACCAAGAAACTATCAATAGTTTTGTTAACATACTATGAAGCCTTAGGAATACCTACCAATCTATCAGTGCTTCGATGCACGATGTTCAGAACGATGTGAAGTTCAGTTTTTGATATGAAAAACTAAAAATGAATTTGCAAAACTCAATAATAGTTTGATACAAAAGAGGCGAAACTATGGAAATTCTACTGAGCCTAAAAAAATCTATAGTAAAGGTAATAAACCATTCTTATTCTCCCATGCTTAAAATTATTGGGCAGCGAACTCCGTAACCGATAGAGTTTCGTATTGTGCCTATTTTTTTAATAGCTTACTATCAAAAATAGTTATGCTCCCGAACTCTCCTAAGTATCACAGAAGCTACGAATACAAGTGTCGGTGCCTCCATTCAAGAATTATTTCAATGTTATTAAATTAAAACTAGCTGATGATTAAAATGCATTTCATAAATATTTCCTTTTCGCCATTGAAAGCAAGATGCACTTCTATCTTAAATCACTTTGATGTGTACTGCCATTCATTAAAGATCTTCGGTTCCACAGAATCTGCCATCAAAAAGCGACCCGAAACCGCGTTTCAAAAAATTTCTAAAACCGATACTGGAACTAGAACCGTGGAACAAATTATTCAGAAATGGTTTTAAAAGCGTAAAATCGTTTTCTTTTCAGGTGCCTGCTGATTTCATTAAGTGTTTTAATAAGAATCATTGGATAATAGTATTTTTCTTGGACAGTAGCAGAACCATAGCAAAAAAGTTCAAACTTCATGCATACTTTCATAACTAAACGGTCCTACTGTTCTGCGTAATAATTTTTCGAACCGATCCGAAACTGTAGATTTGTACTGCTCACAGACATGCTCTGCTCGACAATCATCTCTGCTGTCTAAATGCTGCAGCTTGAATTTTGCGAAAGAAACACATTAGTGTACAACAGTGTTTTTCACATGCAACCATACTCGTTAATAACTTATTCATTCGATACAGTTTAGAGGTGCTATTTGTCAATCTTCTTTCTAGATTACTATTTCTGTTATTAAAATGACTTGGAATTATTGGACTTGGGTTGCGTGCAGTGTTTCCATTAGTGTTGGCATTGTGCTTTTAACACTTGTTGTCTTGTTAATTTTGCTGTTGGAAAACGACAAAATATTTTACGGTCTTGTTGCTAATCTTCTGCATATAGAGCGCTGCTTCATTGACGTGCACCATAACATCATTCGCAAGGATGATGCCATTAATTTTTCTAGCGATGTCCTTGAGACCTACATCTCCAAAAATTTTCCACAAGCCATGGCTCTGATGAAAAAGGTTGATGGGGAAAAAATTCTTCAAACAGATTCCTCAATCGTAGAACCTTTTAACAAAAAGCCTAACAGAAATCCGAACGCTGCAGACTCAAAATCAGATGGTGCTTCTAACGCAAACGAACGTCAAGCACATTCTTCGGAAAATAATAATGATGACTCGAGCAAGCAATCGGCAGAAACGAAGATCAAAATACCCTTAGACTCTCCATCGCATTCTGAGTACGAACGAGCAATACTGAATGTTCATGGGAGATATCTTTCTATACGAAAAAGAGGGACTCTAGTTTTCGTAATAATCTTAACAACGATTATCATTTCCGGTGCTCTCATAGCTGCTTTCAACGCCCTTTTCTTAGCCACAGTAAGTATTTATCGAGATGGTCCATGTCCAGCCATTGGCCCAACGGAATGTTTCTGTGGTGACAATCGTACATATTTTGCATGTGACACGGGAAAGACTGCCGCCTTTCCATTTGATGTTGATTCTGCATCATGCTTTCGTTGGCTTGCGCGTGATATAACAACATCGGATGTTACGACGCAAGTAGGTGTTACAACAGGATTATTGGTTGCTTTCGGTAATATCGCTCGAGCCATAATACAAATATATCTGTTTGCTTTTAACAAGCGTTTGGGCGTAGCCACTGGCATACATCGGATAGCGGCTAAGACATTCGGTATTAATAAACATACAGCTCCAACCAAATGCTGTTGTTGTCATTTATGCTGGCATTGCAGTGCTTGTAACTTAACGCTTTTTAAGCATCCTTCGGCTGTTATAATAGTAACTGCAATTTACATTGCAGTGCCGTTTCTGATTATTCCAGGTGTATCTCTTCTATACTATTATAAATTAAGCGTAACCTCATTAACGTTTATTGTTCTCATCACTTTCGCCATACTTTGTGTGGTATCAATGGTATGGATAATAGTACAGGAGAGTGAATCAAGTGCTAATATAGCAGGTGGATGGACAGAAGTAAAATTACTTTTGAACGGACTTTCTAATGACACTAAAACTACAGCAATGACTGAGCCAAAAAACCGTTCAAAAACCTAGATCGATGCTTCCAAGTAAGCACTCTGAGATAACAAGACTATGCAACGAAATGCGAATCGAAACATCAACTGCAAGTAGATTTTAGACAGTTTGTGATGTATGTTTGTGTGTGAGAACTTCAGTATGTTTATCACTTTTTTATGTTTCTTTTGAAAGTATCATTTTCGACGTCTTTCACACTTGTGAAAGAGCGATAACTTGCTGTTTTCGTTCATTATATTCATTATTGAATTGTTCCAGCAAAGAATGAAGTTCGCGTGACTTAAAAACACCAATTGACAAGCCCTCGTAGAATGTGTTCGAATAGCATCGATGTACTCTTATAATTCTGTTTTTATACCTAGCTAAATTTAACACACATAGAAAATACCACATATTCCGAAATTTGGATGGGTGCTCACATCTCTTCTAAAAGATTGTTGCATTTTGAGTCACAGAAGTGACATCTCTCACGGAAGCATACGTAGTATTTAAACGGGAGATGATAAATCATCAATGATGAATCAACGCATTGCCAAACTGTACATATGGCATTTTTCTACAGAGTTGCAGTATCTGCCTGTGAAGAAGTGAGCACTTCATCGAAATTTGAGATATGTGACATAATTCGACTCAATATTTATAATCTAATAACGAAAAATATTTTCTTTTAGATCGCTTGAATCTTTATTATTCCTTATTCATTGAAATTACTAAATCATTTCATATGGGTAATACAGAGTCTACGCCAAATAAGCTAAGTCGACAATGTGACTAACTCAAATTAACTTTTGAAAAAAATTTTTACTTCATTTCTTATTTTTTTAGTGGTTCAGCGGTACCAAAAAATAACGAAACTTTCAGAAGAAGGTAATTTCTCTTTTTGTTACCGCTCATATCTATTTGTTAGTCTTGATTTATAGAAATACAAGGATGGTATCAGGTTAGTTGAATGAATGGTTTCCAGGGTTTCATATGTGTTTCTTAATGATAGGGGTTCCATCATGACTGTCCCGACGGGAAACTAAACAAGGAAAAATTTAAGCGTATTTTCAGAAAATATTTTCGTCGACGAAATACAGAACTGTTTTGCGAGTATAATCTGATCGAATGATGTTATTGAATTGTGAAAGTATCGAATAACTTCTAGTGTCATTTTTAAAACGTACGGCAAAGACAAGGATGGTTCAATCAATTTCGAAGAATTTCTTGTAGCTGTTTCACCTCGAAGTCAATTAGAATTAAAAGATCATATTGGTATCCTGTTCCACATGTAAATTGACTATAAACTTTGGTTCCACATACGATCTTTTTGCTTCAAAGGTATGATACATCCAACAATGATAAATTAGATCAAGCAGAATTGGCAACAATGATTAAAGCTATGGTATACTTCTAATGAAAGTCTTTAGATAAAGTAACCTTCTTTCTATTACTTCAGTATGATTTTATGGATACAATTGATTCTGACGATCAAGACGAACCAGAAGACGTCGCAAAACAGATAATATCAAAACTCGAGAACAAAGATAAAACCAGGGAGTTCGAGAAAGAAACAGTTATTGATGGGTATCGTTTAATTCAATTCTCTCTTTTGAAATATATATTCATTTTGCATTTTACTTGTACTTTAATTGCTTATTAGATGTTCTAAGAATCCTACTATTCAAAAATTGCTTGCTCCGAATAAAATGGATCATGACAAGAATCCAAAAACGAACAGCGGCTCAGATTCGAGCGATGCTCCAAACGAAAAACAGAACCAAAATTCGAGAAATGCTTCGCATAAATCGCAGACCTCACATTCAACGGATGCTTCACGATCCCGACTATCGCGAAAAGTTCAACCATCGTCAACAAATTAAACAAATAGAAAATTTCCAGTGGCAAGTGTGTCTTCACAAAAATTTTCATGACTATTTGAAAAGTTAAACCAGATTGTCACTAGCAAGCTCATTTCTATAACAAATATAAATCTTTGTTTCCTTGCATGTGGTTGTGTGGGTGTGTCTAGTTGCTATAATACAAAGAAATCTTTTGTATTTCAAAATTACTGATAAGAATTATCAAGTGACTGAGTAGCTGTTTGACTGATCAAATCTACAGAAATTCGATCAAGAACAAGATACTAAAGAGGGTGTGGATGCCGGTGGGATGGTAGGTGTGTGGGTATTGATTTAGTTCTTCTCTTCAACTGCACTCACACTCATACCCACATCACACTCACAACTCCACCCACACACACTCCCACACCCACACCCACACACTCCCACACCCACACCCACATATGTATTTGTCTAAAAATTTGGGGAAAAACTTTTGGAGTGCTCTTTGTAGTATATAAGTCGGGTTGCTGCAGGTTTAGGGGATGAACAATTTTCTTGTCTTAAACTTCCATTAAACCTATTTTCCTGTGCGAGTTCCACAAAATAAACGACTCGAATGATGTTAATGTTGAATTTATTTTGAAATCTTTTGATACGAAGACCATGTAAAAAAGCATACAAAAATATCAATTGACGATACATGAATTATCATCGACGATTTGTTAGTTTAGCCAAACAAACTGAACATCTGCAAAAAAAAGACTCAACAGATCAGAAAATCAACTTGAAAAATATGATACGTACGTCCGATACTTCACCATTGTCATTGAATGGATCGTCCAAAGCATTTAATTTTTGCTCTTCGTCTCGTTTTGATGTTCCTTCTTTTGTGGCGTTATTGTCTAGTGGCTTCTTATCATTAGTGATGGGTGCATTGGTACTGACATTAACAATTGGTACTGAGTTCACACTCTTGATAAGATCGTTTACGTTGATACCTTTTATTGCATCGGCGAATAAGATAGGCCAGAATGGTTCCGCCTCATACTTAGCTGCCTTCAATATTGTCGCAATTTTATCTCCCGTTATCTCTACGTTATCGTCGACTAACATGAGTGCCGCATATACGCAAGCAAGTTCATCGTTGTCAAACATAATTAATGTTAAAGAAATCTGAAAAATTATCAAGATATCTATAAGAATAGACAAAGAAGAAAAGTTGAGTCATTAGGTTGTATATAAGTAAGAACTGTCGTATCTGTAACTTGTTTTCTAAGCCAATGACAGATATCCATCAACTTATATCTACAGAGTAAGCTTTCAACCTAATCTTGGAACAAAAATTTTTGTATGTAGAACATTCTGTAATACAAAAAAACTGTCATAGGTTTATTCATGAGTTTATTATGCGTTGCTAAATTCTATTCCTTTCGACTACTTTCGCGTTTGGCACAACTGACGTGAGTCCAGTTAATACAACCAGAGATGATCTTTTTCCTAAAACAAGAAAAATCTCGAATGCACTTGGACGTTGGATGAATCAATGAATAATGTTTCATTGACTTTGGCAATAGCTATATCGCAACTTCAGAGTACTTACTCGGTATGAAATATCTCAAGCTTCATATGGTCATCACAGACGAATGAATAAGTTAAAAGGCGAACACGTTCGATTTATAGTGAAAATATGCTGTTAAAATTACGAAAGATTTGTGAAATTTACTCAATGCAAATGTAATTTCTCAATCAGAGAAAAAATTATTTACTTTGTGTCATATGAAAGTTTTACCAAGCTTAATGATAACAGTTTTTTCTTCCTTTCAAAACGGTGAACTCGAATTGTCATTATTACGCAACATGCAAAATTTCTCCGAATCAAACAAGCATCAAGGAAATATTCTTAGCCAAACTCGTGATAGTTGTGGGTTTGGGTGCGCGTGCAATGAGATGTGCATTTGTGTATAGTTTTGCGTTTGGTTAATTCCTCGTGTGATAGCGGCTTTTTCCATATGCCTGAATAGATATAAGACACAGAGTTGATATACCCAAGTGCACACTCACACCTACGAACTAAGTTCTGGCAACATGATTTTTAGTCGAACTTTAAGCATGCTTATGCAAGTCTGAAGAGAAGAGATGACATGATAGATTATCTGACGAATAATGGGATGTTTGTGAATTTCACTCATTCACACATCCAGCAAATGCCTACAACAATCTACAAGAACCACAAAATCTACATCAAAATGTTTCCATACCCCAAAGACACAGCCATAATCAGTTATTCTGAAAATTCAAACCACGATGATGTTCTGAGTCCCATCACTATACCAATACAAACTCAAAGAAACACACATTAACACCAAATCGAGCTCATAGTCACATCTCACGGGAATAGTCTCAATAAACATTGACGAAAAACGTGCAACGTTCTTCTATAAGCCGCAGACACTCCGACGCTCGTAACTTTATTCCCAAATCCACCCAATTTACTCTACAAAACCTTACATCGAAATATAGAAAAGAATTTTCTGTAGTCACAGTCAAGACGGTATAACTAATACATCATGAAAATGTTGTAGGATAGGACTCTATCAGATTTAGGATATGGATATTGGTGTAGGTAGAATGTTTCTGGAGAGACGATCTACTTACACCAACACTCTTATTAGCCTCACCGGAATTCGGAAGAGAAAATCTCCAGAAAACTCAGTCGAATTTCACTATTTATGATAGATTTTGTCAACCAAGAATCAACGTAAATCATGATTTAGTTCAAAAATAATGAAATCTAACAACATTTTTTAATGTAATTTTAGTTTCATGTGTGACATTCGCCATCTTAGCTATCTTTGGTCGTTTTTATATAAAATTAATCATAATAATCTTGGAGAGTTCTTTCTCAAGAGTTTTCTTAACAAAACATCGATAGATTTTCTATTGCTCTAAACAAACATATGAAATTAATTGTCGTTAAAAAAAGTATTAGACGTCATCTCTGACTTTTAAATGCTAATCGAATTGAAATAGTAGTTTACATATATTTAATTTTTTGTCGTTCTCATTAAAAACTAGTTTAATTAAATCATCGTTATTTTTAATTTTATTGCATGTTTATAAGTTGAAATGATGGACTTTCAAGAAATATTTCTTTAATAAACATCGAATAAGATGAAAACATGGAGTGTTATGAGTATTACGTTTCTAAAAAGGGTCTAGTTTTTCGTAAATGACATATGAGCAATTTTAATATGATGAAATGTTTTTGATAATAACAATAATGTACAATCAGTTAGTTCTCATTACTACTACCTATGACGAGGATGTTTTGGTAAGCAGAATATGGGTCTTTTTCTGATTTACTTCCTCAATAATCTCATTTTTTAATAAGTAATTAATTAAAATTGATCTCTTTTTACAAGTATAATACCAATGTGCTCATTACAATATTCTCGATTCCAAAGTGAGACTATTTCTAAACGAATTTCTTGAATCTCTGATTTCATTTAGATTTTTAATCGTCATGTGTATGTTCCATGAAAGTCTACATGATCTAAAAATTTATTATGAGAAATGACAAATCTGAAGACTTTCAGTCGTATGGAATTTACTATTTTCTAATTGAAAAAGTGCAACTTTTGATTTTGACTGGAGATTTTCTATAGAATAATCGATTGAAAAATTGTTGATATGAATTTTGAACTGAAATCATACTTTTTCTATTCTCTGTTCCTTGAAGATTCGAAATAAGAACTTGTATTTTTTTGTTGGCAAATTCTTTAAAGTTTAGAAATCTTGGAGAAAATCTTTTAGTAAAAGTACAGATTTTAATCCCGTATAAAAAGCCAATCATAAAGGCGAAAAATTGTTTGATAAAAGACGAATCGATTTTTTCAGAGAAACTCTATTTCTCTATAATCTCTATCGACAATAAAATACTGAATGGAATCTCTTTTTCTCACTTTTTCAACATGAAACCGAATGATAATCACTTGTATTGTATGCAATTTTATCTCATAGAATTTAAATAACTTACGATTGTATAATTTCTTAATAAACTCTAACTAAAATGATAAACATCTGTGCAAAAAAAGAATGTCGGTTTGTTTTTTCGTGTACTTTTCATCTGGTATTTTATAAAAACAATAGAACAAAGCAATAAAAAGAAAACATTGAAATTAACATGAAATAAAGATAATATGGAAATAAATGATTAGAATAAAGTACAACATTGATTTTTTCTTCTTGCCTAAAAAATCAAAAATAATATAAATAAATCAAGAATATCTTCGTACCGTCTTAGCAAATTCTTTGGTCGCAGAACTTAAATCATGTGAGCGTGCAAATAAATCATCAAGATTTTCACCTCGATCAAGTACATTAATCATTGTTTTTATCTACAAATGAAAGACAGAACATTTTCTTATTAAACTATTTTAAATGAAAACAAAACTTACAAGAATATCTTTGGTATCATCAAGATCTTTTTCAAGACGCATTAATGGATCAGCTTCTTGTGGATTCTAAATTTAAATTAAATAAACATTTATTTATTGCCATATGTAAAAAGCTGACCTGATATTTCTTGAAAGACTCACTTAGTGATGCCAATTTACCCGTTCTAATATAAGACAAATATAGATATTATTTTCTTTTTTTTTAAGACATGAATTTAACTTACTGTTCTTTCATATTTACCCATGAAGCGGATGGATATCTAGTAGTAAAATCATTCATAACCTTAAGTTAAAGAAAAAAAAAAAGAACTAATAAGAAACAAAATATATGAAAAATGAATACTTACTTTACTCAGAAGAATATGTGCAACTCGTTGTGGATATTCACTATCAGAAATAATAACTGATGCTAGACCATCCGGACGAACATAAACATGAACTATGCCTATAAAAAAAAAACAATAATTCCAAATGAAATTATAAAAAAATATTTAATTTCTTTTTTTTCTTACCATTAACATTTAGATCAGCTTCGACAGACTGTCTTGTACATAAAGCTGTACGTTCAGTAATTGTTCTTGCTGAAAAGACAAGTAATTGTTTTACACTTAAACAAGCAAAAAAACGTGTGATGTCAAATGAAACTAATTCATACTGAAATTAGCCTTACTAATAACGTTCAAAATAACCAAAACTTCCCAGGTTAAATTCATCTTGAAGTACTTTTACTTTTCCATCGTCTTCCTTATATAAAACAAATATTGCCAATAATTTCATTGTTTCAATTCGAAATTTTTTTCTTTGTTTCGAAATTCTTCTTCAATAAAAAAAAATGATGAGAATCTAAGTAAAATTATTAAAAAAAAATAAAGATTGAATATAAAGGACACTACATGTACATATGTATATATACATAAGAATACTCGAACACTCGTTTATCATAAATCCTAACGTCAATGACAACGTTTGTTTTATGACTCAATTACGGATGATGTGGCAATTAGAGACCAATGAAAAGTTATCTAGAAAAGCAAATAAATGTCGCTTGATGACTAATCGGTAAGTATTTTTTATCAATATTGCAATTATTGACAGTTACTCGTATTTACTTTGAAGTTTAACATATGTGAATCATTAAAAACTACAGTTTGATTAGCTTCAATTAGGAAAAATCTATAGCTGGTCGGCTAAAGTAAAATATATTGAAGTTGAACTTGAATGAAAATTTCTTTACTACAACTTGCAATTCTTTTTCTTGATTTATAAATTGACTTATTTTGAGATTCATACGTGTTACAGCGACAAAATTCTATGATGTTTTAAGACACAGTAAATGATTATAAAGGTATTTCACTAATGTCAATTTACCGTTATAACAACATTTGTATATAAAGTAAAATGCTTTGATTTAACTAGAATATGTCATATCATAAGTTATTTGATCATTATTTATACAGCATTTTATTGTGTACATGGCTTCAACATTCTAGAAAATAAGTCAGCCAAAATCTGAAAATTCCACTATTTTGTACACAAAAAATGAAAATAATAAATTGAAAAGAAAAACGTCAATATGAAATTGTAATTTTTATTTGATTGAGTAATAACACAAAAGTATGAGTCAAAAGAGAGCGACTTTCATTCTATCGTCACCAATTGGATATTTCCATTAAATTGTGTTTCATCTTTTTTTCTATTTATTTAACTCATGCTCTCAACTTTATAGACAAGAATTAGGAAAAATGATTCCCTTTTATCAACAAAGAAAAAAAGACTAGGCGTAATAGCAAATAATTGACAACTACTGTAATTGAAGACTTAATTGCACGTATGTTCGATCTATTTCCTTCGCTTGTGAGATATGAGCATGAGTATAGATACACAAAAGATCCTGATTCAGATCTATGTTTTTTTTTGTGTGATGGTAGAGAAGTGTTCAAAGTTTTTATTTTTATAAAAGAAGTTAACAAATAATGTTCAGAGTGTGGAAGTGGATGTGAATAAAAACAACACCAATCCACAGTCACATCCACAGCAGTGTCCGACTTGGGTCGAACTACGAAAAATTGACCAACGTCGAGCACTGATCCGCAGTCTACTTTGTGAAATGGTTTCATTAACTGCAGCAGTTATGACTTACGAGAAAGAGATATGAATTCAATAGTATCTGTATTTGATGGATTCCATAAAGACGATTCTATTGTTATTCTAACGCAAATATTTCGTTTAGTTTGAGGTTATGGGTGTGAGTGCGGATGCAGTTCTTCTTTAATCGATACCGGCACCCATACCCACCAATTAATTTGAAGAAACAATTTTCAATTTTAAGTATTATCATTTTGTTTTGCTGTCTATACAAGAATTTACATCGAAAAGTACACGTAATCGTATCAAAAACACACATGCAAAACGTTAGTATATAATATCAAAAGACAAAATTGGCAGAAAAAATGAACACCTTGACTTATTACCAGTCGCCTATCGTCAAATACTTTTTTCTTACAGGCTTGAACTTGAGCACCATCACCCGACTCACTAGAAAATCAGAATGTTGGCTGACATTGCATTTTCAGAATGTCTACTGAACACTAAAAGTTGTCTAATTTTTGTGTCAACGACAATTTATTTAGCTAGTTTTACAGCAATTACTATCATCATCGCATTTATTTTTTTTGTCTGGTTCCACTTGTAATTTTTAAGAGACGATGAGACGAGAAATCAGAATTGTCGTAGCTGAAAACAAAATACTTGCTAAACATTGAGTAACACAAACATATTGATTGTTTCAAATGAAATGAACTTGTACAGTGAAGTATAACTCATGTTTATTCATTTTCAATCCTGTATCATGTGGTTTTCCAGTCACTTGAATGATTGAGCTTTAGTATGATATATTCTCTGGTGATCAATCGAATTGTAATTAGAATCTTCTCAGATTATTAATTTAAACATATGTGTCTTTCTTTCGATATAGAATTTTCAGCTGAATCCGCCAAATGTATTCTTCAGATTTAACTGGCTATGTTGGATATATTGGAATAAAGGACTCTTCACATGAAGATTTTTGACTTCTCTTCAAACTCATTGAAAGAAAATTCGAAAATAGATTGGACGTTTTTCTGGATAAATCTCCGTGGATTTTTTCGATAATACTTTTAAAAATACATTTTCAGTTGCTACTAGAAAGACAAGCCCTACGATCTGTTTTTTGTGATCATTAAAATCACAATGTCATTTTGCCAATGAGAACTCATAATCAATACTATGTTAACGAAAATTGTCCGTTGGTATTCGCAGTACTCTAGTGAAAATACTAAATTGTTTTACATAATTCCTAACAGATTAATCTATGAAATATGATGAGATTGCCATCGTCTTGTAAAAAAAAAGAGGACGAAACCAAGCATTTTTTTTTACATACAAGACTATAAATGCATTTCACATCTAAAAACTTCTTCTTGGGACAATCTGAAAAATGTCTACAATTCGATAGTCGAAAACTAAGGAGGGTGCAGGCGTAGATTAGTTCTCTTCGCCGCACCCACACTCACACCCAAAATGTATGATTCGGGATGCTAGACGCCAATTTCAAACTTGGTAGAATTTGACATGCTTTGAGGTTATGGATTTGGAAAAGATAAATATCATGATCTGAAAAATTTTATTAAAAATCAAAACTCACTGACGGAGATTCGGTCTCTATGATATATTGTTTTCTGATTTTTGATTAAAATCAGGCAATCTCCATTCCAAAAAAACATTCTAATGATTGTTTTTTTCCAGAATCTAAGATCTATATCAACAATTGGCATTGCATAAGAAAAAAATTTCTACTGCATTGAATCAAAGCTTAAGATGAATCATATATCTTTACTTCACACTACTGAGTCGATAAAAATATAGCGGCAAAATCGACTATGACGAGTCTAAGTGTTCTAACAGAATTTTCATTCGACGAAGGCCTTCTTCTGCTTTGATGGACTGATCGTCAGTATTCGAGCTGTGAAACTTTTCTACAGAGTGAAAATAATTGTCAAGTGCTTCCGAATATTGCCTGTTATATTCATGTACCATGGCAAGTTCATAATGTGTATGTGCTTGTATGGAATTCATCGGTGACACAACATTTGTTTCAATAGCAATCGCTTTTCGATAGTTCAATATTGCTTGTCCTATGTTTTCTAATTTGAAATAGATGTGACCTAGATTATGATACATTGAGGCCATTCGAAAACTATCCGGTGGTGTTGATTTCATTGTAATTATGTATGCTCTTTGAAAATATTCTAGCGCTTGATGGTAATCTTCAAAGTCATAATAAGACCAACCAACAGCGGTGTATATATCTGCTACATAAGGATGATTTACAGGTAAAGTCTTTAACGCTATAGCAAGAGATTTTTGTTGATAATCAAAAGATGTTTGATAATCTTTCATCGACCTATATAATAAACCCATGGCTTTGTAAAGATCAGCAATCTCTTCATGTTCTTCTTCACCGTAAATCTTCAGATAGAGACTCAGTGATGTTTGATAATATTGCAAAGCATGACAATAATCGTTTTGATCTCTGAAACAATTTCCAAGATCCATACAGTCCTTAGCAACTTTTGGACTATTAGGAAATCGTTCAAGATCGAGTTGAAGAGCAGGTTGGAAATAGTCTAATTCGAGATGAGTGAGACCTTTTTCTTTGGCAACATATCCTAATCCAGAAAGAGCCAAAGTATTATTCGAATCGATATTTAACTGTTTCTTGAAGAACATTTCGGCTGCATCAATTTGGCCTAGATCTCTTGAAAGGATGCCAAGGCAAACAAGAGTACTGCGATCGTTTGATAGATGATTTTGTTTACAATAATTGAATTCTACATGGAGTTCATGATCATCGTTGCTACACATAGACAAAATCTGTTCTCCAAATCTTGTTTGCACTATCCCAAATGATTGATTCAATTTTGAAAATAGTTCCAGCCATAATCAGAATTTCGTTCTCGTCAGTAAAGTGACTCAAATGTCTAATATCTGCGTACGGCGATGTTTTCACGCGAACATCAATTTTGATTCGAAATAGAACTGGTACAGTACCATCGGTACACTGATGCCATTGGTGTTGTGAACATCAAAGCAATGTTTTCGTTTGTTGACGTTGATAAAAATGAATTCATCGATAGCAATTCCCCAACATGTTCTATTATTCGACTAAGTTCCTCAATACCTAGTAACTGACCACGATAGACATGCAAGAAATCAGTACTACTGAGTTTCGTCACAAATTTGACTTGCTCTTCTTTTAATTGTTGATACAAATCATGAATGAAAAAACCACACAAGAACATTGTTTCAGCATCGTGTAGACGCAATGCCTTGTTAATGATCCGATAGAAGCAAGTTGGGCTCGTATACCAGAATACTGCTTTTGATGGTGTGTAGTCGCGATCAAACTCGTTTAAAATGTCTCGAATGCAAGGATTTTCCGAGTAGATATGTTTGCATGTATTTAACATATCTTTCTTCGCATCATCGAATGGTTTCATTTCCAAGAGCAGCTTAATGAAGAGTTGAAAATACATGAAAGAACCATTCAATAAAAGTGACGATTGTTCTGAACGATCGTAAAATGTCATTGATGGGCTTGCTAATCTATTTTCGAACATTCTTTCTCGAACGATTTGATCTTGATTTATTCGTTCAATAAGATCCGATGCATCATTAAACACACCAATGACCTATGGAAAATTAGACGAAAACTATGACACGAACACATCTCATTCTTTATTGTAATATCTATCGTTATAGAATGAATATCGAAAGCAGGAAAGTTTATAATGTGAAATAGACCAAACAATACTACTTGTGCAATTCTGCTTACTTTTTTATATTTATTTGCAATTTGTGCTTCCATCGTATCCTCATTCAACAAGATGTAAACAGCGATCAACTGAGACCAATCATGAATGTGTACGAGAACTTCTGATTCATAAGCGTTCGAGATAATCAAAACTACATGTTCCATTTTAACGGCTCGAATATAGTTGATACATTCATGTTTGTTCTGAAATATTGTCAAATGGTTGATAATGTTTTGGAGCTTCGATTGAATCATTGTATTTTTCGTATCGGTATTGTTATTCATATTATCAGATAGCCATACGGCACAAAATGATTCAAGATTTCTTTGAATATATACGGACTCGTGATTCATGATATTACGATATTTAAGTAATAAAATATTCGATGATCATATTGCCAAGTGTCATTATTTTCTTATCAGCGTCGAATCGTTCGCGTACCTTGATGCTGCAATGTCAAATAATGTTGGATTGATTCAACAAGAAAATATTCCTTCGCAAAAAGTCGTTACGACGCCATAGCCAATAACTTAAAAGTATATTCTTTTTTTATGGACTGATATCAAAGTAATCAGATGTGCATTCACAAAGCAAAGGCTCTCATGTGACAGATCTCCATATGCTGATAGATCAAGAGATAACATTTTGAAAGAAAAATTTATTAGTTTGCTATTAAGACTCTATTTACGACTGTCATCAAATTATCAAAAAACCATCAATTTGCTTCTCTTTAATGTAGAAAATCGATGTCGCTTGTTGAGGAGCGAGTCAAAAAAGATTCAACGATTTGATTGAGAAACAATAATTTCAATCAAGATAAACTGATCTCTTTCATTCAACTACATATTCAATTCTCAATTGAATTGATCAAGTTGGTTTCCAATCGTAAACAAGAAATGTATTTGAGTGAAGTTGTGTAACACTAATTAATAGATGTTCGAATATTTTTTTCCTCGATAGACTAATATCGCTAAATCTCACTTTTCTCAGCTCAAGGACTAACTTTAAAAAATCCGTTCGGATAAAAATTTAATCTCATTGAGATCTTTAAAACAAAAACAACATTATTGGTTATAGCTCAAGACAGGAGGGAATAGTTCCAATTTTTCTGATTGGAAACTATGTTCTGAGAAAAAAGCTAAGGAAATTTTAGAAATAGATTTTTTCATTCAAATCCAGAACAAATCATATTACCATGGGATTTTTTAATATATTCCAGTGGACCATTTTAGAGTACGTAATAGATGAAGATAGCTAACGCCATCTGACACGTTGGTTAATATAAAAATGTTCCATTCAATGATAATGCAAGTGGCAACCCAGTTTTCTGAAACCGAAAAACTTTAAAAACTACGAAAAATTCTTCAAAAATATGGTAGTAGAGTCAAAGTTTTATGTGGTAAGTCTTTGAAAATCTGTTCATTTTCCAAAAAACTATATATATGCTGAAAGAGGAGACTTCACTGCATCTTCCTGTGATAAAAACTCAACTTTGATATTTTCTTGAAAAATTCGATTTTCTAAGGGAAGAGACCCTTAAGTGACTTCGCTTAACATTTAATTTACTTAAAATTTAGTGATTGACGTGATAGATATAATAATCTGATAATAGTCTATTATTAAAATGTTATATCTATCACGTCAATTACTTAAACACTTGATTCTAAGTGAATTAAGTGTTAAATAAAAATTTAATTTAATATTAAATAATTCAATGTCGAGGAAAAAAATTTAATTTAGTATTAAATTAAGGTAAAATGTCCACCCTAGTCTAATCTACGATCAGACAGTTTCTTTTTTGATTGACACTAAGGATATGGATGTGGGTCTGAGGGAAAGTAACACCGATATCCGCACTCACATCCACGGACATTCAGACCCACATCCTATTCATATTCAGCTTCTGTGTTTTCTCATTATTATCCTTTAGATTCATTAACTAATTAAGAGGTGTAGAAAATGCAATATGTAACATGTAAATGATGCTTATCTGCTCTAAAAGAAACCCAAAAGCCAGTGAAGCAACTCAGTGTAGCAGCATGTTGCCTCCATAGCTACTGTCGAATAATTATTTATATTTTCGCTCACTTGTCTGAAGTAAGATTATTGACTGAACTTGATAGACTACATCACAAAATTCCTTAAATCAGTTCAATGGTTGAGTCAACTGTTCTGCACTGATAGGTACATAGATCTCTCAGCTACGATTGATGCAAACAACACGCTTGCATCAAAACAGCTAATGTGTATGATCAATGAAACTCACTAATTAGATTGACTATCTCCTTCACATGAATTCAATATGACTGAGCATCATTAGCACTTGTTTCAACAAACAAGCAGAAAAACACAGCCAACTTGTCAAGGATGGTGTGGATGCCGATTTCCAGAAGTGCTCACCCGCACCCACACCCGTCTAATAGAAGCCAACCAACAATAATCAGGCAAAATTCGAGTTGTTTTGGATAGACGGACAATTATGGGTTTACTTGATGAAAAATTTTGATATGATTTTAAACAATTCAACAACAATATTAGCCACAACTGATCTTTTACTTGGCATGATCATATATTTCAATGAAAAAATATCAAGAATGCTTTACAAAGAAAGTAATTCCATCCATTTTCTGTGCCGAATCGACTAGCAACTATGATCTTTGGTAGTGTATTATTGAAACAACAAGTTCACAATAATGCAACAAAAAACGGTTCAAAGTTAACACAAATATGAATCTGATGACAGTAATATATCGTTGCACATTGCTATTCAAGCATTACATCTTGCATAGCAAGGTGGTATACTTCCAGCACAAAATCCCATATTCTTTTCACACCAGTCAGCAGTACATTCTGAGCATGAGTTGATTGACCGCGTCTGACAACTGGGACTTGTTAATACGAAACAACATTTGCATGAATCACTAGTTGATACAGTTGTTGGTACCATAGTCGGAGAAGGAGTGGAGCTCACAGTTGGAAGGGTAGGTTCTTGTGTCGACGAGCTTCCACCATCTTGACACAGCCATCCGACAGGACAATCAGGTCGACATTGAGCGTACCATTGAGAGCGCCATTGACACGAATATTCCGAGCAGATTTGTGGCCCATTCCATCCTTCTCCACCACACTGTTCCCATGCTCGTGCAAAGCCCACACCACCCGAGTAGCCTTCCACACTGGAACATTCCCAGTCGGTTCCCGGACAGCTTGTTTGACACAATGAGAACCAGCGAGATCGACGAAAGCATCCAAGAGGCCAGTCACAGTTGGTTGGACCTGTATAGCCCTCGCCACCACATTGCTCGTGGATACCAACTGACAAAACGGGAGAAGCGAAAGAAACGAGCACAAGTGCAAAAATGGAGTCAATCATGTTTCTCATTCCTTCTTGTTGTTTTTATTTTCATGTGACTATTTCACACGACAAAAACCTATATATATTATCGGCACTTGCTTAGATTCAATTACATTTTTGGCACATGATGAAAGATAAAAGCATCGACAATTGAAGAGAGATTAGTGCATGCATCTGTTTGCACATCTAATTTGATTTCATTTTCAGCATTCGAAAAAAAACAGAGATGTATGGAAAAGAAAGGAGATTTTTTTCATTTATTTTTGCACACCTGTAATAGCTTTTCTCACACATATCTCAATCTTCAATTTGAGCTCACGATTGACCGGTATGGCAATAACGCACATAAATTGGAACTAGCTGTTGCATTACTCTAGTTTGTTGAATGTGGTGATAACGTATCCAAGTCGAAGTTTGTGATTGTCTACTTTTCTCAGGTTGGAGGTGTTGTCACCTTAACTGAACAACAAATGCAACAAGCACACAGCTGTACTTCACATTTTTCTGCTTAAATAGGACATTTTTTTTCCAGTGGTTGTTAAATAAATAACACAATGTTCATCTAAAAACTTCCACATTATAATCAACAAACTCTTAAAAAACGAGTCGATGGTAAAGTCGGCAATTGTGTATCAACAGACGTTCGACTTAGAGTCTCGAAAATACATTTCGTTAATGCTAGACCCTCCTCCAGCATAAAAGTGCATGGCCTTCTATTATGGAAATTTACATCGCTCCTCTAAAGGTGGCCCTCTAATGCAGGCTAGCTTTTTGGATGGGTGTGGAAGGTGTGGGTATAGATTTATCTTCTAGTCTTCTTTTCGTTCAAATCCATAACCACATCCACACTTACATCTGCACCCGCATCCGCCTGCACCGCCCACTACACTCACACACCCACATCCACCTCACCCACACCGGCAGACATCACTCTATGGTTCAGATCGATATCGGTGCATCGAAAGAGACAGTAATGAAAGTGCAGTTTATTGTTCGAAAGAATTCTTTACTTTTTTATGCAGTAAGATAATCTCATGTTGACCGTATCCTTAAAAACAACGATAAAATGATGCCGAAGATGCTTTGATTTCTGATACCTTGAAACCCACAAATTAGTCAAAAAGCGGATAAATATTTTTATAGATGATATGAGCGTTGTCACTGCCTACTTGACAAAGTATTTCAGCTGAGAATGATGGCATTGTTTTTGACTTGCAAATAGGACAGATTTGAAAGATTCAATGATTATGCCATAAGTGTTCCGATACGTCTCAAAATGGTATGTTCAATTATTTAAACGATGGTGCTCGTTGAAACTCAGTATATCTATTCGATCTTTTTATTTCGAAGTGACGTAAACCAAATCGACTTTAGATGTTTGCCGATAGCCCAGTTTTTCAAACATTTTATACGATAACTCATTTTCGTTAAACACGAAACAGAAAACATGTTCTTGCAACTTGAACAATTCGGAAGCAACGTGCACATTCACTAGTGATGCAAGACCAAGTCGACGAAATTCAGGTAGTGTAAATACGGCTCCGAAAGAACCATCGAATCTTGTCAAACACCAACTCACTAATTGTTTATTATGATATGCACCTACAAAACACCAAGAAGATCTCTTATTGACATGAATAAAGTTTAAAATTCTTTCATGAAAAACTTACCAAATGCTGGTAAATGTTCGATTTCATATTGAATTATATCAAGTGAAAACATTGACTTATATGTCCAATGATCGTTGATAAATGACGCATCGGGTACTGACAAACGTTGAATGGTGATATCTAAAAATTTTGTTATACGAGAAAAGTTTTACGGCAGAGGCTTCAAAAAGCAATGTACAAATTTTTCATTGAATTGCCCCGTGCTTCTTCAACAAAAGAACGCTTGAACGTACATTTAAATCAGTTGTTTTGAAAACTACATGCTCTGATTTTTTTATCTACCTGGTGGAATGTGTTGCATAATTTTCATTTTCGTCATTTTCAATATCTCCCGATTAATTTCCATCTGAGAGGCAGAATGCACATTCAAATCACCCAATTTTTTTTCTCGAATAAGATTTTCGATTATGGTCGAAAATCGATAATCATTGTTTGAATTCACAATCATTTCTACTTGATTCCATGGAACACATCGTTCAAATAGAGTCATTAGTATATGAATGTTATCGGGATGACAAAAGAATGAAACATTTCTTTTACTTGTTTCTTTGTTCTCATCTAATAGACGATAATCAATCGTAAAACCGATTGTAGAATAGACTAGTACTACACTTTTAATTTGATCTTGATCATCAACAAATAATTTATGTGGCCATAGATGTTCCTTTCTGATGAAACCACGTTGTATATAATCGAGTAATTGCCATAGTCGCAGCGATTCTGGAAAATGTTCTTTCTATTAAATGATGATGTTCTCTCTATCTTACAATTGCGCTATAGATTGAAGTACTCACCAAAAAACTTAACACCAATCTAAGTGATTCTTTATTTGAAATATCGAGTTGCCTTGGTATGACTGCAGTCATGTTCTAAATAAAATAAAACTACACTTCACATAATAATGGCATGGTTTTTTTTTCAAGGTTTCTGTTCTTATCTTTTATCTTGACTACTTCTACAGTGATGTCAAAAATGAGAGAAGGAAGAAAAAAAACTATTTGCGTATGAAAATGGCACATGCTAAACGCAGTAGTATAATGCAACTTAGAGTCAGAATGACATCACTGAAAATCAAAGTATTTTTGAAGATAAAAGTTCTCATCGAACAAATATTTCAAAGTATCCAGCCAATTCTTCTCACGTATCTATATCAACTTATCATGCATCATTTCAGGATCAATCGTTGTTTTTTGCTTAATAGTGTTACACTAGAAAGTGCTTACATGATGATAGATGATAATTGAAAAAAGAATGAAAGTATTCAAGTTAAAAGTGATACCATTAACTTAAAGTGTTCCATAGTTTAGCAGTAATATAATTTTGACAAATACTTAAGGATATTAAAGGAATAGTGAAAACAAGTAATCAAAAGTATTTCGAAGATAAAGGAGAAATGTATATATGAAAGAAGAAGAGCGGAGGAAAATATAAAGAGAGGGAAAGAGAAATGTATTACATTGTATCCTTTTTCTATCTAATAATTTTCAAATGACCGAGATGAATGTTTTTTTCTTTTGTGATACTCGCCTCAAACGAACATATCGTTGTAGAAAAGTGAGAATCCAAGATCGGCTAAACGCATGGTTCTTAATTTTCTTTGAATCTATTTTTTAAGATAAAAACCTAGAGAGTATCCAAAGATGATAGTATAAAGATTATATGTAGAGACGGAGGGACAGAAGCAAAATGTGAAAAAGTACACGCAGAGATCATTTCAATTTTCTGAAAGATCTCGAAGTATTTACTATACACTGATCGACTGTGGATTTCAAGGATAATAATATTCATCCATGTGAACCCTACATACTTAAATTCTTTAATCAATTCAATGTTTTCTCTGTTCATCATTATGTTCAGTTTTGGTCTTCTTATTTCTGTATGAAATAGCTGTGCTACAGTTTTAGATATATTTATCGATTGCTTCCAATTTTTGGAGTATGTATAATCAATAGATCGAGTGGCAAGCATTTCACCAAACAACTAATATAGCTTGGCGGAAGTTTTTTTAATCATGAAGTTCGACACCAAGTCAAACTCTGCCAATTTTTTCGGTTTTATTAATGCTCTTATTAATTTACTAATTTCAGCTGTACTAGTTTTTTCCATCCACTCTTCTGTACTCAATCAAATATTCATGTATTCGGTGTATTTGGTTGCTATCCTAACATCATGTGCATTGAAGTGATCTATAGAGTGATCAAAATAGTTCACTATAATACGAACTCAATTCATCTGTAATATCTTGTTGTGTTGACTTTCTCCTACAGCTAGAGAGTTATTGATCAGTAAGATCACTGCAACACCGTCGATAATAAATATAGCAACAACATATTGTTGAAAGGACAAAAGTTCTTCGAGAAAAATACTACCGAATATGCAAGATACCAGATGTTGTAAAGTGGCTGAGAGTTCACAAACTATTGAAAGAAGCCATTTACTAGAATTGCAGTATAGGACAGTAGCGATATTCAACTCATAGAGAACGGCGTATAAAAATCCACCTAGTTGTAGCTTACTAATATTTATATATTTCATCACATTCTTGATGTTACAAAAAGCAAGACTAAAAGTAGAATGTTGATGGGGATAACAAGAACATCCACACATCCTCAAATGCGAAGTAGATCATAAAAGCACCCTTTTTCGACCGGACTAAGATGTGTAAGATCTATTTTAGTTCAACAAAATAATATATCGACAAACAGAAAGAGGATGTGTGTGTGGGTGTGTGGGTGTGTGTGGGTGTGGGTGTGGATATCTTCTCATCACACACAGCCACACCCACATCCACACCCACACCCCACACCCTCTTATTTATCAGCAGATTGAGCCGCCGTGTGTTAATAGTCTATCGATTTCATCGCTTTGTAGAAAGAATGTAACGAAAAGTACCGTTCCATTTCTGTTTGATTATTCGTTTATATCTTTTATCGTTATTCTCTTTTATATCCATTCTCCCTCTTTCATTACATGATCAATATTATCTGTTTCATGTCTATTGTTTTCTCTCCCCTATACAAGTATGTGTTCTGCGAGTGAGACAGAGGGAGAGAACTTGTAGCTTGCAGAAGCCAAATTAAACGACAATCTTCTGACATTGGCACTTCTTCCGTCAAACTCGCTGTAGAGGGATCTTTCCTTATATGGAAAGACACTAACAACCATATATATTTGTGATGTTGTGGTATTACCAAAAAATCGTCTTTCAGAAGTACTAGAGGTCAAGCCATCGCATAGTTGAATTAGTTTGAATTTTTTTAGCGTATTATTATTGGATCCATAGGCTACTTTTACTTAGAGCAAAACTAAAATCTAAAATTCAATTATGTTCGTGCATGTTCTGTTCGATCTTCGCTTGATCTATTTTTATTTTTATTAGACGACAGTACATTTGAAAAATTTTCTTCTTTTTCTCTGATTTCCCTTTTTTCTTTTTGAAAAATTCCTTCTCAAAATCCTTCTTTTTGGTTATCCCCGGCTGCGACTCCTGAATTCAACATCGAACAAGACCATAGAATAAAATGTAGGTATCAGTTTTAATTTCTTTTTTCTTTTTCTTTTTCCTTTTCTTTTTTTTTCTTTTAGATCATGTGAAGAATGGTAAGTCCTTCTTTGATCTTTGTCTTAATGCTCCATTTTTTTATTTTAGGGGATGAACAGTGAAGAAAAAGATAACAGTGGGGTAAGTCATCTCATTCTCTTTCATTATATAACATTAAGTAATTTTTTTTCTTTTCCTTGTAGTCCTCAATATCATGGCATCGTCATCATCAACAACATCATCGTGCAACATCAACCAGTGAGTACTGACATTGTTTTTTTGAGAAGAGAATAGGCTGAAAGGGGAATAGGGATTAGATAGTGACAATGAGATTGAGTGAGATTAGGGCGATACCCAGCAAAATGAGTGTTTGTTGGAGAAGGGCGGGTGAGCCATATCCATTGAGGTTACACCACTGTTATCTACAGGTCTTCCAAGCAGGCTCTAAAAAGCCGTCCGGAAACTATGTTAGTGTCCGTGGCATATGATCGGGCTTTCCCCAGACTCATTGACACATCTCTCGAGTGGGAGGAATGTGAATAATTTGAGTCTATCCCGTATGTGCATGAGCTTCGCGCTCACCACGGCTCCACCGGAGTGGTTTCTGACCACACGCATGCGCGAATAGAATAGTCATTTCTGTAATCAATTTAAAGTGACTTATTTCACAGAAAGGAAAAAAAAAGTACTTCATCGTAATGAGTTTATTTTATTGAAAAACGTTGAACACGATTATTATTCTCATCGACGACATACAGATTGCCATGACGATCGAAGAACAAACCTCTGGGATTGTTGAACTGATTTGCTCCTGCTCCTGAGCCATTTCCACCCACAATGACAGTGCCCTGGCTTGCTCCTTTAGGCCAACGCATCACTCGATTATTCCCATTGTCTGACACATAGAGAGTACCCAACATGTCGACGAACAGTCCTTGAGGATGCGACAATTGTGTCAGACTATTTCCTTGGCCTTGTCGCCCAGCGACGACAATTCCTTCTTTTGCACCTTTATTCCATTTCATCACACGATGATTCCAGTAGTCTGACACGTAGACAGCCTGTTGTTGATCAACAAAGATATATGTCGGAAAGTTGAATTGAGTGTAACTATGACCTTTGCTATAGCCACCAGCTATGAGAGTTTCATCCTTGTGTCCTATTTGATATCGTCTTATTTCATCTTTGCTGGTGCCAGAGATGTAGTGATATCTTTGTTCATCCATGGCCAATCCCCAACAAAAGATGTTGTCGAGCAGGATTTCTCCTTGAGTTGTACCACTACGACGAGGCCATCGTACGATTCGTCGATTGTTTCGATCACAAATAATGAGGCTATCCGTCTCTTTGTCGATCAACACATCAGTTGGATGATTCAATTGATTCAATCGATTTCCATAGTCGTAGCCACCAGCTACCACTTGTCCATTGGTATCACCCATCTTCCATTGGAGAATACGATGATTGCCGTAGTCAACGACGACCATCGTTTGATCATCATCAACGAAGAG